GCTTACTCCTTGGAAGGAAAGTTATGACCAACCTAGACAGCATATTAAAAAGCAGAGACATTACTTTGTCAACAAAGGTCTGTCTAGTCAAGGCTATGGTTTCTCCAGTGGTCATGTATGGATGTGAGAGTTGGACTATAAAGAAAGCTGAGCACAGAAGAATTGATGCCTTTGAACTGTGGTGTTGGAAAAGATTCTTGAGAGTCCCTTGGACAGCAAGGTGATCCAAGCAGTCTATCCTAAAGGAGATCAGTCCTGAGTGTTCGTTGGAAGAACTGATGTTGAAGCTGAAACTCCAATACCTTGGCCACCTGATGCGAAGAGCTGACTCATTTGTAAAGACCCTGGTGCTGGGAAAGATTGAAGGCGGGAAGAGAAGGGGATGACAGAGGATGCAATGGTTGGATATCATCACTGACTTGATGGAGATGAGTTTGAGTAAACTCTGGGAGTTGGTGATGGACAGGGAGGCCTGGGGTGCTGTAGTCCATGGGGTCGAGAACAGTCAGATACAACCCTTTGTGAGCGACTGAACTCAACTGAACCCATTTTAAAAACAAGCAAAATAATTCAAACACACATTTTTCCCAAGAAGATATACAAATGGTTGATAAGAGCATGAAAAGGTGCTCTTCATCATTAGCCATTTGGGAAATGCAAATTGAAATCACATGAGATACCACTTCACACCCACTAGGACTGCAGATCTAAGAAAGACAATAACAAGTGTTGGCAAGGATGAGGGAGCAATTAGAACCCTCATATACGGCTGGTGGGAATATAAAATGGTGTAGCTACTTTGGAAAATAGTCTGGCAGTTCCTCAAAAGGTTAAAAATAGAGTTACTATATGACTCAGCAATTCCACACCCAGGTGGATACCCAAGAGAACTGAAAATGTATGTTCACACAAAAACTTGTACAGGACGTTAATATCAGCATTATTCATAATAGACGAAAGGTGGAAATGACTCAGATGTCCATCAATGAATGAATGGATAAACAAATTATGGAATATCCGCATGATGGAATATTTTCAGCAATGAAAAGAAATTAAGCGCTGATACACACTACAACATGAACGAACCTTGAAAACATCATGTGAAGTGAAAGTCAGTCACTAAAGACCACCTAGTGTGAGATTCCATTTACATGAACCGCCTAGAATAAGCAAATCTACAGACATAGGACGTGAATTTGTGATTGAAGATGGTTGGGGAAAGGGGAAATGAGGAGTGACTGCAATGGGTGTGGGGTTTCTGTTTGGGGTGATTAAAAACATTCTAAAATCAATTGTGGTGATGGTTTTACAACTCTGTGAATACACTAAAAGCCACTGAATATACACTTCAAATGAGTGAATGGTATGGTATGTGAATTACATCTCAATAAAACCGATCAAAAATGTAAAAAATGTCAAACAATGTCTTTTTTTGTTTGTTTTCAGATTTTGTGTGTGTGTGTGTGTGGCTTCCAGGGTCTGGCAAAAAAACTGGAGTGCAGAAAATGTTTACTGAATGAGCGGATGGATGGCTGACAACAGGATGGATGGATGGACGGTAGTGGCCAGCCTCCATGACGGCTGCTCCTGATCTCCATCTCCTGGATTTATGACCTGGGATGCCTCCCCCAGCACTGAACAAGGGCTGACTCTGCCCTAGCAGAATCCCATGGAAGGGCCAGTGTGTGACATGTGAGGCTAGGTCATGAAGGCATGGTGGTTCTGCTTTGTTCCCTTGGGCCACTCTCTCAGGCCCAGCCACTACGTTCTGGAGAGGCTCCTGTGGAGAGGGACTGAGGCTTCTCACCAACAGCAAGCAACGACTAGACAGCCGCTCCTGAATTCCTGACTCTCGGTAACTACGAGACAATAAATTACTGTTGTTGTTTACACCACTAAGTTTTGGAGTCAAGAAGCAATGGATTACTAATAAAGATTTATAAAGAGATGGATAGATGGATGATGGATGGGTGGGGGACAGATGGAAGGATGGATGAGTGGGTGGAGGGGTGGTGGATATGTGGATGGAAGAAAGGACGGATGGGTGAGTGGGTGGATGGATTGGGGGGGACAGATGGAAGGATGGGTGGATGGATGAGTTGGTGGATGAATGTATGGATGGAAGGAAGGATGGATGGAGGGTGGGTGGAGGGAAGGATGGCTAGATGGAAGGATGGGTAAGTGGGTGGATAGGTGGGTGAATGCATGTATAGATGGAAGAAAGGATAGGTGGGTGGGAGAATAGATGGAAGGATGGGTGAGTGAGTGGATTGGCAATGGATGGTTGGAGACTGGAAGGAAGGACAGACGGGTGAGTGGACAGAATTTTCAATTCAGGTCCCTCCTAGAGATTTCCTATTTCTTTGACACACACACAAGTAAAGATGCAATACTCCAACATGATTCTCATTTCAAAACTCTCCATTTCAGCAGAGCTCAGGCTCAGGGAAAGATCCAGGCACCAAAGACACGAGGTCACTACACTTCCTACCACCCGTCCTCTTCCTTGCCCAAAGCAGAAGCAAATGGAAGTGCCTGGGGTCTTGTCTGTGATCTCAGAAAACACGTGTAGATTCCTGGCGTGTCTGCTCCAGGTCCAGGGTTCCTAAGAAGGATCAGATTTGGAACAGATGGCCAAAGAAGCAAGACACAGTGGCAGGGTTGAGGGCAGGGGGTCAGTGAACAAGCCACACATCTGGTTCAGATTGTAGCTCCCTCGCTCAGGCGACTCACTGAGCCTCCCTGCGCTCCCAGCTCCTCATCTACGAGAGCCGTGACACCCCTTCATGAAGTCGGTGACTCTTCAACACCAATACTAACAAGAGATCCAGGTGGGACCTGGGTGCTAGGACTTACTTTTCTTCTTTCCCTGCCTCAGCTCCCTGTTTGTCCCCCCTGGCCCGTGCCAGTGTATGGCATGGTCACCAGCTCCAGCTTCAGAAGACCTGGGCTGGACTCCAGGCTCTGCTCCTCTCCTGTGTAAACTTGGACACAATACCAAATCCCTCTGTGCCTCAGTTTCATCATCTGTAAAATAGGGATGGCAATAGCAACTGCCTCATAATTTTGTTGTGAGCATTAAAGGTGATAATCTTATAATCACTAAGGTCAATGACTTACACATAGCATGCTGAACGCTGGCAGTAATAATACAGATGACAAGAACACAGCGCATCACGACCACCCCACCAAGCTCAGTCTGAAAGGCAGGAGGGGTGGTAATGAGTTATCTGCTGGGCCCTCCAGGGACAAAGCTGCCATCCCCCCGGCCTCCCTGACTGTCCTGGGCTTGGCCACCCGACACTTCATCCTAATGGAACAACGACGGCTCCACCACTCAGCTGAGCACCACCCTCCTCAACCTCTGAAACCTTAAACAAAAAGCTCACCTTTCCTCCCAGAATTGCTGTCTCCTTCCCTGGTCTCCATGGAAACAGACTCCATGGACCACTCTGGAGTCAGGGTAGCACTGGGATGACTGGGGGCACCACCACGCCCTCACCCGGGGCACCACGGGAATGACTGTCTTTCCATGGACTCGGAGGAATGTTCTTTTCCAGACAGGCTGGTATCCTTGAGGGGTGTGCTCTGAGCTTGCAGTCGTGGCTTCAGGAGCTTGAGGGCAGGTACTCCAGTGACGGGCACAGGCGGGCTGGCCTCCCCTGGATGCCCGCCTCCCTGCTTGGCGGGACAGTACCTTCCAGCTTTTGCCAAGACTGATGCCCAACCCACGAGAAGCGGGAGAGGGCTTTTCCGATCTCGCTATTACAGATCAGGAAACAGGGGCTCAGAGAGGCCAGGCACTCTGCCCGAGGACGCACAGCTGACTCCTTCTCCTCCACATCCCCTGTGTGTGCTGCTGCCGGGGAGATGACCTTGATGGGCGTCACCACTGCTGAGCCGGGCTGGAAAGTCAGCTCGACTCTCAGGCCAGAGTGCACGTGCTGCAGTATGCCTGGGATAGAGTAGGTGTTCAATAAACATTTTTTTTTTAAATCCCCTTTTTTCACATAATTATTTTTTAAAATAACTAATTAAAAAAAAACTGCAATGTGGTAACCGGGCAGTTTCTTCATGTTATTCTGCTTAATCTTCATGACATATTCTATTTACTACCCCAGAGCAGGTATTAGTGCCCCTTTGGGGATTTCTGCAAACATTTAAGACAGGCCTGGTTTTGACAAAGCTAGGGAGAAGTGTGGGGAGGCAGGGGGGTCCCCATTAGTGAGCTCTGCCAGAGGGCCGTGCAAAGAGTCACTCACTGAAGCAGGTCCTGAGTGCTGACTTCTTACCAGGTCCTTGGTGCAGATAAACTGTGGCGTGCACTGCTTTGGGAATTTCCAAAGTACCTACCACCCGGGAGGAGGTGAAAGGCAAAGACAAACGCAAAGGAGAAAGGATGCTGGAGGAAGGGGATGCTGGGGGGATGCTGGGGGGAAGGGCGGGAGGGGTATTCCAGAGGCTTCTCTGTTCCCTCCTATTGCAGGTGAATGCGGCAAACCTACAGGTGGGCCCCCAGGTCCTGGCTTCCCCGAGTCGACTCCCAGCCAAGGTCTCTAAGCACCACCGTCCTTGCCCGCCAAGACTGGCCATCCCTTCCTCCTGTAATCCCCCAGGTCAGCGGGGCTCAGGGGGACCCAGTGCAGGCCCGCTGGCCAGGCAGCGCCCTCATGCCAGCTTAGCCTCCAGCACTGGTGGGACTGTCCCGGCCCCGACCACTTCCTCTCCCTGCCCAGCCCCTGCCCAGCACCCGAGCCCCCCAGCTAACTCTCCTCAGGATAAGGCTCCAAACCAGTGCTCATTTCTTGCCCCAAGCACCTCTCCCCACCCCTGTCATCCTGGCTGTGGCCTGTCTACATTCATCCTCCTAGCTCCCTCGTCCCCTCCCAGACTCGGGGCTCCGACTGGACCCAGGCATGGAGAAGGATACAGTCCAGGTTAAAGGGGAGAGAAGAGGGCTCCTCCTCACCTGCACCAGGGCCTGCGTTGGTCAGCACAGTGTCCCCTCCAGGTCCACTCCAGTCCTGGCTCAGGCTCCCCCACACGTGGTCCAAGGCACTGCTTTTTGACTTTTGTCTTCAAAGGCTTAAGCCATGTCCAGGGAGACAGGGACTCCCTCCAGATGAAGAGAGAGTCCCAGGAACCTGGAAATGGGGAAAAAGAAATGAGTCCTGGGGAAAAGCATCCCCACCAGGGACACTCCACGGAGAAGTCAGCCTGGTGCGGCGCTGCAGAAGCAGTGAGCCTGCAGGACTGGATCTCAGCAAGCACACAGATGCACCAGTCCAGAGCAAACAGTTACCAGTGCTTCCCGGGTGCCAGGCACTGGTCCAGGGAAATGCTCTGGCCACCATCACCGCCCACGAGGCAGTGCCGCGCGTCCCATGTTGCGGTGGAGGAAGCTGAGGCACACGGAGCACAAGGGGCCTGCCCAGGTCGCAGCCCTGGTAAGCGGCAGAGTCAGGGCTGGTTTCCACTTCGTCACACTCTTCCTGAGTCCACCGCCCTCTGTCCTCAGTACAGCTGGGGGGCCTCCCCAGTGACTGGTCTCAATGAAAACCCCAAGACTTTGGGCAACTCCTCAAAAAAGAGAAAAAGTCAAGACAACATGCCCCAGCCATACCCATGTCCCACACCACTTCCAGGTATACACCCCAAAATCAAAGTGGGGTTGAGAACAGACACTTGCACAGCAGCATTAGCAGTGTTATTCACAATTAGCCAAGATGCAGAAGCAACCCCAGTGGCCGCTGATGAATGAGGGGATAAGCACAACGTGGTCTAGACAGAACAGGAATATCATCCAGGGCTTCCCTGGGGGTCCAGTGGTCAGGAATCCGCCTTGCAACGCAAGGGACACGGGTTCGATCCCTGGCCTGGGAGGACCCCACATGCACAGAATAACTAAGCCCATGCGCCACACCGCTGAGCCCACGCGCTGCGGCTACGAAACCCGCACGCACTGCAGCCCGTGCTTCACAACTAGAGAAGCCCCTGCGCTGAGACGCTCACACACCGCAACGAAGAGGGAGCCCCCGCTCGCCACCGCTAGGGAAAGCCCGCACGTAATGACCAGGACCCGAGCACAGCCAAAAACAAAACAAGTAAGTCTTTTAAAAATGTATTTTAGAAATGTTACTCAACCACAAAAAGGAGACAAATTCTGACACCTGCCACACCACGGATGAACCCTGAGGACATAATGGCAATTGAAACAAGCCAGGTGCAAAAGACAACATACTGTGTGATTCCTCCTATATGAGGCACACAGAGCAGTTAAGATTCATAGAGACAGAACGCAGAAGGGTGGGTGCCAGGAACTGGGAGAGGGGGCTGGGGGGTTAGTGCTTCATGGGGACGGAGTCTAAATCAGGGAAGATTAAAAAAAAAGTTCCAGAGACGGGCACTAGTGATGACCGTAGAGCCATGTGAACGCACGCAACGCCACAGAACTGTACTTAACAATGGTTAAGATGTTGATTTTATGTTATGTAATTCTGACCACAAGAATTAACACAGGTCTTCCCTGGTGGTCCAGGGGTTAAGAATCTGCCTGCTAATGCAGACGACACAGGTTGATTCCTGGTGGGAAAACAGCCCACATGCCACAGAGCAACTAAGCCCGTGCATCGCAGCTACTTAGTTTGAGCTCTCGAGCCCGTGCTCTGCAACGAGAGAAGCCCCCCCAGTGAGAAGCCCACGCGCTGCAATGGAGAGCAGCTCCTACTCACCACAACTCGAGAAAGCCGCACGCAACAACAAAGTCCCAGTGCAGCCATAAACAAACAAATTTAAAAAAAAAGGAGACAGACCCCAGGTTTTGGCACAATACTGGGCCGGACACCCCAACAGTAACTGACATTGATCTTTTTCCGAACTGGCTAGGTGGGGCTGAGACGCTGCCAACCAGAGAAAGGCGTGCTCCCTGTGGACCTGAGCGTCAGGCCATGCCTGCTCGGGGCGGGGAGCCAGGGCAGAGTCCACGAGCCGGGCCTGCGCCTGTGACTAGTGAGGGGGGGCATCCTCAGAGGGTCAGGCCAGCTGCAGGCTCTTCCTAATAATGGGGCTTCCCGAGTGGCTCAGAGGGTAAAGCACCCACCCGCAGTGCGGGAGACCTGGGTTTGACCCCTGGGTCAGGAAGATCCCCTGAAGTAGGACATGGCAACCCACTCCAGTATTCTTGCCTGGAAATTTCCATTCCCAGGCTGGTGGGCTACAGTCGAGGAGGTCCACCCTTCTCGGCCCATTAATAGCTGACACCATTATTAAGCAACTGCTGCGTACCAGACCCTGTACTCAGCACCGTACATGTAGTGCCTCATTTATTTCCTACTACAAGCCTTGGAGGTGTTATTTCTGTCCATTGCACAGGCGCAGAAACTGAGGCTCCAAGAAGAAAAGCAGCCTGCCCCAGGCCCCCAGCTAACAAGTGGCCAAGCCAGGCCTGTGTCTCTGGGCGCCCGCTGTCTTCCCAGGCCGCGTCTCCTCTGCCTCGGGTGGCAGCATTCGCTGCTGGAGAGCCTGGTGCTGCGCCTTCACCTCCGTGGGTATCCCTCGGGCTGTGGGGACGTCTGGCCGCCGGGCAGGGGTCCTGGACTTGGGGCACATCCTCCATGGAAGCTGCTTGGAATGGCTTCAGCCCAGGCAGAGCCTGAGGGAGGGTGGGCAGCACTGGGTCAGTATTTTTGGTCCATGAGGGAGCGCTGGGGAGCCCACCCACCCTCCACTGCTCTGGGGCTCAAGGCGGGACCCTGGAAATGAAGGCAGAGAAGACCCCCAGCCAGCGGGAGGGCCCTTCCAGGACAGCCTCCGAGGCCACTCTCTGGACTGGTGCCATGAGTGCGGTCACAGCTGCCTCCGCCCCAGGGCAAAGAGGAAGTGGTCAGAAGCAGCGAGAGAGGAGAGAGAGAGCCCTAAAAGAGGACGTGTCCCAACCCGCCCCCTCCCCTCGGAGGAAAAGGGGCCAAGCTGGCCCAGCGCCTCTTGGAACCTCCGGCCGGCCAAGAGGAAACCTGCTTTAACCCCACTCCGATGTCCTGAAGACCCTGTAGAACCCTCCGGCCCTGGGGAGCCCCGAGGTCCGGGGACAGAGGACCGTGGGAGTCCCCAGGCCAGTGCCCAGCACCCAGCAGGCTCACGGCCACAAGAAGGGACGATGGGCATCGTGGGGTTCTGGGTTCAAATCCTGCTCGCCCCTGTTAGCTCTGTGGTCAGACAGGCTGTTTCCTCATCAGCAACCTAGAAACAAGAGCCCCCAGCTTGTGGTGAGAATTCAGTGAGGCTTGAGATACCAAGTGCTAAATGCCATGTGTGGTAGGCAGTGATAGCCTGACCAGTGTCAGCTCTTGTTTGGGGTTTTTTTGGCTGCACCAAATCTTCATTGCAGCACTCGGGATCTTTAGTTGCAGCACGCGGAATCTAGTTCCCTGACCAGGGATCGAACCCGGGCATGTAGTCTTAGCTGCTGAGCCACCAGAGAAGCCCTGTGTTAGCCACTGCCATGTCAGGTGGATCTCTGAGGCCTGCAGGTTGCCTCTCCTCTCTGGGAGTCAGGGCCGAGGGCTGGCAGCAGGTAGAGACTGCACACGGGGTGGGTCCAGAGAGAGGTAGCCATGCTGCTACCACAAATGGAGAGAGAATCATAAAAATCTCAGGGACAAAAACGGATGGTCTCCATCTCCCCAGAGACCTACTCTGAATCCCCTCCGAAGCACAGTAATCCTGCACACCTCCAGACAACATGCTGGTATCACCCAACACGCCGAACAGCACAGCGCAAGGGGTCTGGGACCCCATCTCGTAGCTGAGCCCAAACTTTGTAGCCTTGACCTGCAGGCAGAATAAGCTGTGTCTGCCCCACCACCACGGTGAATCTAGCTGAGCAGAAATGGTCAGCACCACCGCAGTCCCGAGTGCGACAGCTGATGACAGGTCGTTCGTGAAGTACCCAAGACGGGCCCCCAAGAGTGAGCACCTCATTTCACAGGCTAATTCATCACATTAAGATGGAGAGTGCCCTCTACTTCAAGTTCAGAAACCTCTTTTCCAAAATACCCTCGTGAAGGAAGCACTGGACATCTAAATAGAAACTCTTATGAGACATGGGGAAGAATTTCACACTATTTGTATGTGACCGAACAGCAAGGGACAGTAACATTTCAACAATTCACACAAGCGGAAACACAACTGGCCAGCTCAAAAAAAAAGAAAAAAAAAAAAGATTAGTGAGGTCAACCTCACTAATCAAAGAAATGAAAATGAAATGCCGTTTTTACATTCCAGTCAAATAATTTGCTATCTAATCTTATAAATTGTTTTTTATGTTTATTCAGTCACATATAGCTCTGTGTATATGTGCTTTTAGCTAGCTTTTTTCCCCCCAATATGAGGTCATTTTTAACTCACTATATTGAGGACCTCTTTCTGGGCCAGCAAACGCAGCCAACTTCAGGATGCTTTGTTTTGTTTAGTTTTGTGTTGAATCACCATGTCACCTGTCATTCCCTTGTGTGGATGGAGACCCACTATGTTTAGCGGTTGCCTACTGATGGGCTGTTTACAGTTTTGGGTCTTTCTTTCATAAGCAATGCAACTTTGCACATGTATATTTGAATACCTGAGTGAGCATAATCATAGAAAAAACCAACACCCATAAATGCTGGCTCACGTAGCAAAACATATATTATATACATATAATATATAACACACATATATGACATATATATATAATACATAACATATAATATATAACATATATGTGTGTGTGTCATTTTAAACTTTGACAGACACAAGTTGTCCTCTAAATACTTCACTGTTGACTTGGTAACAATATCCATCTTACACTTTAATTTTTTAAATAAAAAGACCACTTTAAGATTTAAGATTACAGAGATGGTAAAAACCAGCCCAGATGGGCTCGATTTGAGGTTCTTTGGCTGAGTTACCTCAGGTCCCCCAAATAAACCCCCAAACCAGTAATGCATGAACATGTAAATGCTTTGGACGCCCAGCATCAACTTCTGTTTCCTGCCTGGAGAGCCCCGTGTAAAAGCAGCAATGGGAAGGCAGCTGGGCTGACATGCAGGCTCCACCCTGGGGCCCTCTCCTGCCAGCCCCAGCCCTCAGGACTGAGACAGGTACC